GACCCTGTACACACACACTTTAACCAATATTATTATACACACACGCTACAGCCCATAGCGTGAACCTACAACATGCAGTCAAATGAGCTCTTAATGGAAGTGAAACAGGCCATCCTAAAGCTGCAAAACATGAACATTAGGAGTGGTCAAATCAACAGTTTCAACAGTACATTCTGAGAAAATAAGAACACACTTTTGAACTCTGCAACAAAAAAAGGCCTGGACCTCCACAGAAAGCAAAAGTGGTGGATAATCACGGTATCCTTTCATTGTAAAGAAAAACCCCTTCATTACAGCCAGCCAAGTCAAGAACACTCTCCAAGAGCTAGGCATTTCATTATTCAAGGATACCATGAAGACGAGCAACAGACGAGGCCAACCAGGTAGATCAAAGGATCTCCCCGGCTGGCCCATGCAGGGCCAACACTCAGTTAGCATGACTCAGGCAATGAACTGACAATGAACAATGAACTAGTCCCTTTAGTGGGGAGATCAGAGATCTATCTCCCCAGCCTATTACACAGATATGCAGAGGGGCACAGGGAGCAACTAATCTTACATCCGGTCTCCACTCACAATGTGCAAACCATTTATAAGCCTCAAAACAAGAGGCTAGATTGGACTTTTCAAAAAAAATCGGGAAAAAACAGACTAATTCTGGAACAGCATTATTTGGACATATAAGACTAAGATCAACCTGTACCAGTGTGATGGCAAAAAAAGTATGGAGACAGCTTAGAACAGCTCATGGTTCAAAGCATACCATATCATCTATAACACACAATGGAGTCATTTTGATGGCAAGGGTGTGCATGGCTTCCAATGGCACTGCGTCACTAGTGTTTATTGATGATCAGACATAAGATGCCGGATGAATTCTGAAGTGTATAGGTATTTATTGTCTGCTCAGATTTAACTAAATTCAGAGAAGTTGATGGACAATGATACAAATATACTGCAAAAGCAACCCAGGAATTTTTTTACGGCAATGAAGTGGAATATTCTGCAATGGCCGAGTCAATCACCTGATCTCAACCTGATCAAGCATGCATTTCACTTACAGAAGACTAAACTTAAGACAGAAAGACCCACGAACAAACAACAACTGAAGGATAAAACCCAGCGTTTAGTGATATCCATGTGGTCCAGACTTCAAGCAGTCATTACCTGCACACAAAAGTTCTGGTGTTTCAATATCCCTGCTTATTTATGTCCTCTCCAGGCCTCTTAATTTTGTTTTAAATAGTTTTTTATTGTCATCACAATGTAGCTGCGGATATCAAACATATTATTGTAGAAGCATATGGTCGCCTACGCAGAGGCGTATATATTAAAACAGGTAAACTGAACAGGTGCAGTTAGTTTAGTAAGGCAGGTGTGTACTCTGGGAACTTTAAGACATATTGCCTGGGCTGGTAGAACCTAGTGTGGTTTGGGTTTGTGTAATTGTCTTGTGTTAGCTGGTTTGTGTAGATACTTTTTGTTAGCTGGTTTGTGCAGTTGCCTCATGTTAGCTTGTTTGTGTAGTTGCTTTGTGTTAGCTGGTTTGTGTAGCTGCTTTGTGTTAGTTGTTTTTTGTAGTTGTCTTGTGTTAGCTAGTTTGTTGTAAGTATGATTTTATTTCACCTGTGTAATCATAGCGTATACATCCTGTGTAGTCGTTTTGGTTCCTGTGCAGAGGCACTGCGTATTGTACATCTGATATGAACTTGCACACGTTTAGCCATCGGATACGACCATTGCAATAGTAGATTGTTCCTAGCACCTAGGTGGGTAATGCCGATATTTGTGCTGATATTGACGGTGCCACCTGTTCATATTTGCTTTGAATAGTGAGAGCGTTTTTGTGGCTCAATAATTACACGTATGTGTGATCGTGTCCGTGTGGCGTTGATGCATTTGCGTAGTTTAATACGGGTGGTTTATTGGTTTATGCCTGCGTCCGTGAGTGTTACGTCCAGGTCCTCTTCCCAGCGCCTGATGCACGGTGGTGCAAGAAGGTATCGTCCAGTTGTCAATGAGGTGTATATCTGGGAGATCGCTCGGGGTGCGTCCGACAGGCACAGGGACTCAAACTCCGTACAATCCCGTGTAAGGCTCGGTCTTTGGGGGATCAAACGTGCATATCGCTGTAGTTGTTCCCTTGCTATAGTGTGTAGGAAGGTGTGTCTTTGGTCTGGAAACAGGTCTGCGATTGGCTTTATTGTGCAAGGGGGTGTGAGTATGTCTATCATTCAGGGTATTGCGATGTTGGTCCTCAGTTTCAGGATGGGTCCCATGTCTCCTGACGGGAAATCCGGGTTTCCCCTGAGGGGGAGTAGAGGGCTCGGGTTGGTAGTAAGATAGTATTTGGAGCCATTTTGGTGCCAGATGCGGAGGATGGCTTTCACAAATGGGTTCCCGTGTTGGGTGCGTCGGCTCGCTTCTGGGGTGATCCATGGCAGGGCTCTAAGGCCGCAATCGGAGCTATCCGCTTCTAGTTGAATGCATAGCTTGTCTCTTGGTGCTTTCGACCAACCGATGATTCGGGTGAGGTGGGTTGCAATGTAGTACTTCCTGAAGTCGGGAAGAGCCAGTCCCTCTTTGAGTTTAGGGAGTGTCAGTTGGGAGTGGGCTATTCGGGGGGGCTTGCCCTTCCATATGAAGTGACGGATAGCCGCTTGGATGGATGTAAAAAAGCTCTTCGGCACTGCAACTGGTATTGTTTGGAAGACAAATAAGAATTTAGGGAGTAGGGTCATCTTCACCGCGTTGATGCGGCCTACCCATGATATGTAATAGGTGTTCGAGGCCTAAAGTTCAGCCTGCATGGTTTTGAGAAGTGGTAGAAAGTTGGGATGGTATAGATCCGCTGGGCTCGGTGTGAGCCATACCCCTAGGTACCTCATCTTGGTGGTGCACCAGCGGAAGGGGAAGCGGCGTCTGAGCGTCTGCGTTTGGGTGTGTCTAACATTGAGATTTAGGATTTCTGATTTGCTGTAGTTGATGCATAGGTTGGAGACGTTGCCTTAAGTCTCGAATTCAGTCATGATCGTGTGTAGCGTCGTGGCCGGGTGTTGTACAATGAAGAGAAGGTCATCTGCATATGCCAGGACTTTGTGTTGTGATCAGCCTATACTGAGTCCACGGATCGCTTTGTTGCCTCTGATGTTATTAAGGAATGGCTCTAGGGTTAGTGCAAAGAGCAGAGGGGGTAGGGGGCATCCCTGGCATGTTCCGTTGCGGATCTGTGAGGGCCCCGTTGATGCGGAGTCTAGCCATCGGTTCACTGTAGAGCGCCTCTACCCATTGTATGTATTTGGGGCCGATGCCCAGGCTCCGGAGGGTTTCGAAGAGGAATTCCCAGTCTACCCTATCAAAAGCCTTTTCGGCGTCCGTGGAGAGGATCAGAGTCTGTTGGTTGGACTGCGCCGCTGCGGAGATTAGGTTCAGTGCCAGTATGGTGTTGTCTCTGTCCTCTCTTCCCGGAATTAACCCCGTCTGATCTGGGTTAACCAGGTCTGGGAGTAGTGGTGCCAATCAGTTGGTCAGCACGCTTGCCAAAAGCTTGACATCCACATCCAGGACCGATATCGGGCGGTAGGTGATGTTTGCTGCTGTGAATGGGGTAGAGGGGGTAGCGCCGTCTAGAATTGAGTTCAGAGCTGAGTGTAGTTTTGGCAGGAGGTCCGGTAGGAAGGTTTTATAGTATAGTAGCGGTAGTCCGTCTGGCCCTGGTACTTTCCCAGTCTTTGCTTTTCTGATTGCATATGTCAGTTCTTCCATGGTTATGGGGGCCTCCAATTCGTCCCGGTTTGGGGCGGCTAATTGTTTTAATCCTGCTGCATCCAGGTATGCATGATAGCCTCGCTTCTGCAGGGTGCCTCGTTGGCCAGTGCGTCTCGTCGTAAATTGTAGAGGTCTTCGTAGTATTGGGTGAATGCAGCCATCGTGTTGCCCTCAGTGGGTAGAGCTGGATTTACTCTTATGGCTGCTCACCCCACTGGGTGCCATGCTTCTGTGCGATGAATAACAGCCCCTTCTCCCCTCTCCTCCAATCCCCCCGCCAAATTGTAGCAGTTAGGTCTTATGTAGCTGAGATCAGTCCTGGAGGGCCGTTGGTGCCACTGAGTTCAGATTATCCAGGCCTCTTGTAATGTCCGCTGTTTTGTAGGCCTGTAGTCCTGCCGCCTGTAGCGGCTTATCTGTCCCCGTGTGGAAGGCTTTAAGTTTAGCCCACATGTGTGACTGTGTCTTGGTCCCCCACGTGCCCCCCTCCCCAAGGTGTATGTCATATCCCTCCCTGTGGTGCAGTGTATGTATAGACAGTGTCCCCAGACAATGGAAAGTACTCACAAGTTCATTGAGTGTTGGCGGGACGCGTTTGTGATTTGTCCCCTCTTAGTGTGTGAGGGTGTCTTGCTACGGGTTTTACTCTTCTGGCCCTGTTGGGTTCGGGTGCCATGGGCGGTCGCGTTGGGACCTGTTCCTGCCCTGATCTCTGCCCGGTGGTGGCGGTGGAGGGCCCGTCGCTTGGCGTATAAATTGGTGGGTCAGCCAGTTCGGAACCTGTACCAGCGGGAGCCCTAGGGAGCGCTGGAATCCAGGGACGTCGGTCGGGGACCTATAACGTGGAGGTCCGGTCCTCTGCGTGCAGATATAGAGAAGGAGTCTCCCCATCTGTAAGACATACCTGCTGCTTGGAGTGCCATGGTTATTGGTCTGAGAGCCTTTCTTGCCTGCAGGGTGTAGCGGGAGAGGTCCTGGTAGATGGATATATGCTGGTTATCGATGTGGATTGTGCCCATGCGGCGTGTGCCGCGCAGGATATCTTCCTTCATGGTAAAATTGTCTAGGCAGCAGACAATATCTCGTGGCTGTTCGCCAGTTGCAGGAGGTGCGCGCAAAGCGCGGTGGGCTCTGACCAGGCCCAGTCTATGAATTTGTTGTCCTCCCAGGGCATGGCTGAAGACTGTGCGTAGGATCTCGGGTAGGTTCTCCGTCGGGCCCCCCTCTCTCACCCCACACACTCTGAGGTTGAGCCTGCAGCCCCTATTATCAAGATCATTGACCCAGGTGGTTAGGTGGGCCAAGCTGGCTTCACAGCTGTTAATTGAAGTGCGGGTGAGTTCAGCATCAGACCGGAGGGTTCTGTTATCGGTCTCTGTAGCCGTAAGTTGTGCGTCCATAGAGGCTACATCCGCCCTTACCTGAGCCACTTCATCCCTGATGACTCTGCTGAGGCGGTCTGAGAGGGCTTCCAGATCTGCCTTGGTAAGCAGATTGGGCAGGAGGGCACGCAGGTCTCCATCCAGTGTCCCCTGTGTTTCTGGCGAGGCTGGTGAAGCCGGAGAGAATCCGGCGGGAGTCGCGGTCTCATTTGAGGCCTCCATTTCCGGTTGGGAAACGAAGTCCCGTGGGGTTGTGAGGAAGGAGCGGATAGATGGTTCGGCCCCGGATCCCGATGGTCTGGGGGTACCCTGGGGCTCTGTTAGCTTTTTTGTGCGTCCCATGGTGAGTTATTTGCGCGTGGGGTAAGCTTTGTTTAGCGATTATTGCTGGGGCCACGAGGAGCAGCTTGTTCACACAGCCATCTTTGTCGGCAGCTGGACATGCCCCCCGCCTCTTAATTTTGTATTGTTTTTCTTTTTTAATTTTTTGTTCTAATGCTTCCACTCCCTCCTGCATTCTATTTCAAATAAATCACAATTCATCCAAATATTTGCTGATTGGCAGACTGTCTGAATTTTGAAACTTCAAATCACTATATAGATGCATCAGAAAACAAACAACATGAACAACGGATGAACGGTTTTATTCAGGATTTGGAATTCAGCCCTTGCCCCCCCTTCCAAAAAAAAAAAAGATAATTGATGTTTAGGGGCCAACCACTAAGTCAAATAAAAAAGCAAAGAAAGGAATCAAACAATTTGGGTTCAGTCGGACCAAAAGCTTATAATATGCAAGTGAATGCTCAGAAACTCAGAAGTAACTAAATTCTAAAAAATCATGAATATTGATTGAAGGTGGGCTGAATTTGAAAGGTGGAATACCATTCTATTCGGTCTTAAATCCGATTGGAAATAGCGTTATAAAAAAGGGTGCAAAAATGATGATATTATTGTACAGTATAGTACATGCATTAACGAAATTCAGACAAGCTGAAATCCTGAAATCTAACTAAATTTGAATTATTTTTTTTTTTGCAGAATCAGTTCAACCAAAATTAATTTTCCTACTGTGCACAAATCTACGTACTACTTTTATTTTATTAGCTTTAGCTACAGCATAGTTATATTTATGTTTGATAGTTCAACTGGAATACACAAGCATGAACAATGCACAGCAATGTATCCCCCCAATCATATTAATATATGTGCCAAGGCTGTGCTGTAGACAAAATAAATATGGAAACTAGAATTAATAATAAATGAATTATGAAAAATGAATAATAAAAATATACTCACACGATAAATATGAAGGTTGTGTGGTTTCATATTTGTTATTCTTATTAAGGTTGCGTTATTTCATATTTAAAATGTAAATTGTCAGGAATTCAATGAGAATATCCCAGAATAGCCAAATTGTAAAAATTCTACCGGCTATGTTTTCATTTTGTCTTCTTTACTATTTCTGTATTGATTATTGGTCCACAGTATCCATGTTTACTATTTGAAGAGTCCATTTAAATGTCAGTGAGATGCTTTTAGCTGTTAGATATGCATATCTCGTACAGAGCATAGTTGATGACATCTTGCACTTTTGACAGTAGCTTACATCATAAATAACCTGTTACTACTTAAATAGCTAGTCTGGGAATTTGTGGATGGTAGTAAACACTAAACTTGTACACTTGTTTTCTTTCACATTGCAATTCATCCATTTACGCTGATCAGTTTGTTGTCCGAATTCTGTAACTCCAAAGCACTATATGGACATATAACCGAACAATAGACTCCTGCAATATAGGAACATGTTACTTTGATTCATGATGAGTTCTGCCTGTGGCGCCAAACATAAATACATATATAAAAAGATGATTGACGGCTAGGGGACAGCCACTTAATGTTCATTTTACTCACAGATCAAGTGAGATGTGACATACAGAGGGAAAAAAGGAGAAGTAAAATAAAAGTATTTATTTATAAATTATGCATTTAATGAATATATAACATGAATATAGATTATTTTTTAATGCTTCTCCATAGTTTCTCTTTTTTTTTATATTTATATTATGTACATATCATGCAGTACACTGATTGGCCCATTTTCGTGCCATTTTTGCTTTTATTTGAACTTTTTTTCACCAATTTTTTTTAAGAAATTTGATTCGACTATCAGGCTAACTCAACTGATTTATTTTTTTTCG